GGGAAAATGTTTAATTTTTAATATAAGTGAACTACCTTTTACCTGGAATAAATTTACCGATTCTTAGAACATCCAATAGAACATATCACCATCAAGCACAAGTGAAAACATATAATCTGCATTCCCCAAACATTTCCAAGTCAGCTGATTAGTATGCATTTTCCCAAGAAATAATACAGTAAGTGGTAGCAATGCTTCAAAGGACCCAGAGAAGCCTAGTCAACTGGTAATATGGCTGAACTGTAGGATTATCCTTCTCAATGTGTCTATACCTAACTCAGTCCTGTACATTTTCTTTGGCTTATAAATGAAAAGACTCCTTCTGTCTCCCTTTCCTGGCATTTAGAAAATATTTTTTGTCTTTAGTGGTCAGCAGCTGTATGGAGACAGCCCTATGTTGCAAAAGTAGATGGCATAGACATTTCCAGTACCTACAGTTTTGTTTTTTGTCTCTGACTTAAATGGTCCTGATACCCAATCTGCCTGAAAACTTTATTTTCCTTCATTTTTTCAAAACCCAGCCTAGATGCTGTTACCATCTTATCTTATCTCTGTATGTTTCAAAGGAGGCTATATAGCATATGGTGGTTAAGTCCATGGGTGGGCTTGGAGTCATATAGTCTGAACTAGCATTCTACCTCTGTTACTGATTGGTCTATGACCATTGGGAGTTATTTAATACTCAAGAACCTCAGTTTTATTATATGTAAAACATGAATAATAATGATGCTACCTACTTCATAGGACTGCTGTGAAGATTAAAGTACAGTATCTGGTATAGAAAGACTGTATGGATGGTAGCTACTACAATGCTGTACTTTTCATTATGTATTACAATTTGTTTATTTGTATGCCTATCTCTGTTGTTAGACTGTGAGCCCCTTGAGGCTGTGGACTGTGCTTCAACCTTCTTTATCTTCAGTGCTAAACCCGGTGACTAGTATAGTGGGTGCTGTGATAACAGATGTGTGGGAGGGTAGGCTGTAGAAGATAGGATAAGGAAAGCCTTTGAACTGGGATCCAGGCTCTTTTCTATGTATTCCATGAACACAGAAAGTAGGGATGGGAGAAGATTTAACCACAGCTCTTGCCAGGTCTGGGGCAGCAAGGGTTTCCACAGTGGCTTCTGTGAAGGTCTTGCCAGGATGTAAGAGGCTCCAAATTTAAAAATTTCTATGGATAGTAGGTACAATTAGGAGCAAAATTAGTTAGGTGGTGAGGGTAGGAATTGCAGGGGTTGGGAGTCAAGAGAAGGCACTAGTATGAATCACAGGAAATTGCAAGAAGTGAAGATAAATCTCCACTTGCAATGCTAACAGAGAGACAGGGACTTTTGTGGCTAGTTCAACTGCAGAATTCACTTACTGGATGTATGCAAAGTGATGTGTCAGGGAGGAACAACATAGTTGTCATTAATTGCCATTCTTAAGAATTGAAATATTGATGACATTTCCTAATCTAATGTCTCTGTAAGCAGCACAGAAAAGAATAGGCCAAATTGATTGCAATCCTGGTTCAACCATTTACTCCTTGTATAACCCTGGGCAAATTACTTGATCATTGTGAGTCTGTTTCCATATCCATTCAAATGAAAATACCACCATCATGTGGGATTATTATGAGGGTTAGTAATAATAAATATCAAGTGTCTAACATAACACTTGGCCGATAGAGGGTACTCAATAAACAGTAACTATTATTATTTTACAGATCAACAATATAGTCAGTCACAAAAAATAACCTGCTTAATACTCGTTACTATTTCATCCAGGTGACTATGCTAAGTGGTCATAGCTATTACAACATGACCAACATTTCTGTAGCTTCAGGAAGATGAATCTGTTTAATAAAAAAATAAAGTTTGTCTCAACAGTTCCTTCAAAATCAGCTAACAAAGTGACTAGTAACGGTCACATGCTCACTTTATTAATATTTGAAAGTTACTTTTTATGTCGAAAGCCAAAGATTTTGGCAAATTGTAGCATACAGGCAAAATTAAGTTGGACATTTTAGGCTGATTTCAGTTATTTTTTTTTTCACTGTGAAGTGCAATGTCACAAGAATGGGGGTGATCACTTTATAAGTTATATAAATGTCTAATCACTATGTTATACACCTGAAATAATATAATATTGCATGTCAACTGTAATTGAAAAAAAAATCACTAGAATAAAAAAGTGACCTTAATTAACTCTCCTAAGAAGCTAGTCCAACAAACAGTAACTTTCACAATAAGTCTACTACAACCAGCACCTGGTTTAAACCTTCACTTGTTTTCATTTATCCTTTCTTTAGTTATAAAACGTTAGAACAGGCAAATGTATTACGTCTACTCAGAAAACATAATGAAAAGGAATCTCCAACCTATAATGGTTTCAGATTACTTAATAAATTTAATCTCTTCTAGCTTTGAAGATTCACCATAGGCTGGTTCTATTCAATCTACCCTTATTTCCCACTACTTAGTTACATTAATTTTTTTTGCATTCTAATCCTAAGTTTATTCAACACAATCCTTTTACTCTACACAACAAAGTACAAACACAAATGATCTAAAATGATACAAAGTTACAAAAAAACTCAAAACAGAAAATTTGTAGTACTGACTGTACAATAAAAGCCAAAAAAGCAATGTACATGCTGTCAAGGTGACCTGAAAGACCACCATGGACAACAGCCTCAAGGGTCCCCATCATGACCCTGAAGAGCTGTAGTCACATTAACTCTTAATCAAATCTGGCCTCCTCTAAATTCCCAGCTTCTGCATTCTTGTGGTCGATAGCCATACTGGTAACTCACTCTCCCCGCTGCCATGTTTTCTGACTGGGCCTGTGTATGCCCAGGACTCTGGCCTGCTCCGATCGCACAGTTAGCATCTCATCACAAACTGTTTTTAGCTTTTAATTTGCATAATCTAGCTCTTTATTTGAACAGTAGAAAATTCTATCCTGTTGATTAATTTTCTTTGCATAAGCTAAAAGACTGTTTTCATAGGCCATATATAAAAAACTGACACTAGCGTTAAACCTCATCTGAACTATTTTCTGCTAGTCTTGATGAGGAGAATATCATTATTTTTAATTAAGGTACATGACACGCAAAATTAATATTTGCTGACTGATTTTTAGACTAGTCTTAGAAATAAAGTCAACCACAAACAATTTTTGAAATTCAGCAACATTAAAGCTTCCTTATCGGGCCAGCCGAGTGGCTCAGTTGGTTAAGAGTTAGTTTAAGAGCACGAGCTGTGAGCAACAGGGCTGCCAGTTCGATTCCCACATAGGCCGGTGACGCTGTGCCCGAGATGAGCTGCTGCTGAGTTGCCAACAGGTGGCAGAATGGCTCAGCTGGTGCGAGCACGTGCGCCTAACAACAAGACTGCCTGTTCCATGGTGGGCAACTCCTGCCTGCAA